AGTATATCTGTGGTTGAACTTTTGCAAGAAAGACTCCAGTGTATGCTCAGAACACAGCAGGATAAAGGCCCTGGTGGTAATGAGCTGGGTCCATTTCATGTGGAGGCTTAGAACTCCAGACTATGGGAGATTTCAGAAGATCATCAGCTCCTCATCCCTACTTTGAAAACACTTCTAACTCTTGAAGATCCTCTAAATGAAATCCTTTTCAGAGGAGGGAAAAGGTCATCCCATTCAACTATCACATACTTAAAATTCAAATATCCACCAGAGATACCATGATTTCATTTTATACGTAGGTGAAAATGACTACTGCAGGTCCCTTTCTGGAGGGCATGTCTGACCAAGTAAGCCCTATTTTCTCAGCCCCCCTGTATACTCCCCTACACCCCCACCCCCCAAAAAAAGATTAGAGAAATACTGCCACAAAGAAAGCACTGTGTCTCAAAAGCGAGGTTGCTTATTTCAAACATTTGCCTAAATCAATTTTGGCATCAAAGTCAAACTGTTTCAACTAGGGTCAGCTGGAAATGCTGGATGAAAATTCAATAACTGGGAAAAGAGGGATATCCTTCCTGTACCTCTGTAGATCCTAAAGTGAGGGGTTATCCTTTACTATACTAACGTCTGTACAGGATCACTTAACCTGTCTTTTCAGAGTGGTTTGAAAATAGTCCAAGAATTCTTTGATACAAGTAAAAACAAATAGAATATGGCAAAAAGAGGTTGTGTGACATCCAAAAGGAGGCCATCAAAGGCAATGCAGATTCCGGTGCTGTTGTTCTTGGATTACGCCATGTTGTAAGGACACTCAAGCAGTCTACCCGGCAGCTCTTGTAGCAAGAAACCGAGGTCTCCACCCAAGAGCCATGCAAGTGAGAGGAAATGTCTGGCTTTCAGATGATGCAATCTCCCACATCTTGAACTTGAACCACCCAGCTAAATGGCTCATGAATCCCTGATCTCATCCCCCCCACCACTTGTGATATATTTTTTCATTTGAGCTGTTAAATTTGAGGAAGGAGCTGTTATGAAATAATAGGTAATACATAATAACAGATATTTAATACTTATTAATAATTAATAAATAACTAATATGTGGCAGGCTGGAGGTAGAACCTGCAGACGCATTCTGCCATTAGTATTTATGCGTTATCTCTCTGCTTCTATCTTCTTCCCTATCCTTCCCTCGCCTACTCTGCTACAGGCATACTGGCCCCTTTTCTATTCCTCAAGAGAGCCAGGCACTCTGCCTCTAAGTCTCGTACTTGCTGTTTCCTCTGTCTGGAACACTCTTTGTATCTGTTCTCAGCCACATCACCTTTTTGGTGGGGCCTAACCTATTTCACACAATATCAAAGTGGTCTTTTAAATACTTACATTGGTCCCGTCTGTCCTTTACTTAAAGTCCTCGGTGATTTTTCAGTTACACAGAGTGAGGCCTGATTTTCAGTAGTGGCTACAGGGACCTTCACGACACAGCCCACGGGCCCTCTCCATCTTCCTGGTACACAACTCTCCCTCATTCATTGTGCTCAAGCCATTCTGTCCTGCTCTAAAACAACCCCACCCAAGTGTGGTGAAGGCTGACTCTCTCTCCTCCAAGGTCCCAGGTTTCTGCAACCTAAGTCCACACTACCTAGCTCATTTGTCATGGGAAATGGAGTTGATTGTTCACATCAGTGTCAAAGAGCAAGCAGTCTAAGTGGCACCAAAGAAAACTGTCAGCGTTGATGTTAATTATCTTAAGATTTGAAAATTGCCAAAGTAAGAAAAATGAAGTGCTTTGGCTGTGTAAAAATAACATCGATTCAGTAATTTCCATTAACTGCAAAACACATTTAGCTGCTGGACCACGGAATACAGACACATATGCATTTCCCAATGTGTCAAATTAACTGGGTTGTGAGTTTTATTTCATCACAATGGAAAACTACAACACTTGTTTAGGCTCCCACACTTTCTCACCATCATCAGCCTCTACTCATCTTTGTCTTTTCATAGGTTCAAAACTCAGTGGGACCAGGGCACGGTGGCACATGCCCCTAATCCCAGCAGCTCAGGAGGCTGAGGCAGGGGGATCATGGGTTCAAAGCCAGCCTTAGTAACAGCGAAGCGCCAAGCAACTCAGCGAGACCCTGTTTCTAAATAAAATACAAAATAGGGCTGGGGATGTGGCTCAGCAGTTGAGTGTCTCTTAGTTCAATCCCCAGTAGCCCCTACCAAAAAATCAAAAACTCAGGAGAAATGTGTGTCTCTGGTACCCTTGGTTAGGGGATGAGTTCTACTAACTACTATTCCTATCAACAACTCCATCACGCTCTTATTAGCACAAAGAAAAAGACACAAGAACTTGACAGTTTATGAATCTTATAATGAGCCTCAAATGCCATGTGTCATGAAAAGTAAAACAAGTTAATTTGCTGAGAGGGCATGAGTACTTCGATGCTGAGGTGGGTCTCGCTGCTCTCCCCACACTGTCACCTCACTGTCCATCTCTCTTCACTTGGAGGCCCTGTGTGCCTCACCCACAGGGTAACTTTTCACCAAAGAGTGCCTCATTTCAACAGGATTACTCACCCTTTCTCAGCCCCAATCAAAGTCCCACTCCTCGATTGCTATTTTCCACACCCCAGTCCACCCTACAAGGGGATACACAGGAGATGCCAACTCTCATTCCATCATGTCACTCCCCAGTTCTGACTCTGGAGACCAGTAGCAATGCTTCTGACCTCAATGATGTTTCTTCTGGATCCTGAATTCCCAGGCACCTTCTAACTTGCCTAACTTTTCCTCTACAAGTACATTACTCAATCTAACCAGATACGCCCCATTACTCACATGGGCCATTAGGGGGAGAGACGGAAAGTTTGAATTGGGCACGTTGAGGTGATTTTGTGCCTCAAATATTTTAAACTGATGGCTACTTTGTCAATTGTAAGGGACGGTGGGTTTGCTAGGTGTTTTATGCTTCATTTTGTACCATAATTGTCACTGCTTCGAAATTGTCAGCTGACAATGACTTTCTGATTATATTTTTCAATTCCTTCCTTGCTTAATTTAAAAATCGTTCAAGTGGAAGAGTTTTCAGGCAGCAGCATGTTCCCTGCTGATTACTGCTGTAAGATCATAGTTTCAGGAAACAGCAGAGGAGTCTCAGAAGAGCTTGTGTGAGGGCTTTGTCTCAACTTGCAAAAAAAGGAGGAGAGGGTCATTATATGGTTAATTCAGTCACTTGAAATCTACAGGGGCCACAAAATTGAAGTGACACGATTTCAACAACATAGCATGACAGGGAAGGTTGTTTTGAACTCAACTTCCCTCTCAAAAATTCATCATAGTTTTGCAAATCTGGTTTGCAAAATTAGTGCTGGGACAAGAGATAAACTACATTGTCACCAGAAGAATTCCTTTCAGATTTTGATTATTTTAAAAGATTTGGTTTGCCTTTCTATATATATGCACAAGTAGTTAGGAAGCATAAAAAAAACTTTATAACATTCTAATGGAAATATATGGAATTTAAGTTATGAATATTTACATAAGTATAAATAAAAATAAGATTGTCTGAACTGTGAAACACCAGGCTTATGAAGCACAAAATGGTATTAAATCAATGAATTCCAGCTTAAATTTGCAAAAGCATGTGTCTTATGATGGCAAACAAAGAAACAAAGGTGACCTTGACAACTCACCCTCTCAGCGCTATGAAAAAACTGCTATAGAGTAACTACACACATCTGAGAGAAAATGAGTCTGCTGAATAGACACCAAGAACATAAGCCTTACTCGTAGTGCACTTCCAATCCAGAGTAAATCTTTATCCAATGAAACACCCCTCTTAGCCTTACCTTTTTTGAGACAAGGAAATTTAAACAACTTGACCAGTCCGAAATCATCTCCAGACACCAGCACTGAGCTGTTATAATTTGCATCCACAGAGTTGATGTCAGTAACCTCAGTGTATTTGGGCCAAATTCCACTCACTTCAGGCCCTTTCACACATGTCCAGGACGCCCAGGGAATCCCTTTGATTTCTTCTTTACTTGTTAAAGGCTTCCCAGCTGAAAACAATAAATGCTACATTTACATAAAAAATACTCTAATTTACTTTGTTCATTTTTCTTATTAAACTCTATAGCCCTTTTTAAATGTAATGTCTCAAACAACTAATATTTACTTGTCTGTAACTACTTAGATATAGGTGATATTATGCTTTGAATTGTTGATGAAATCAGTAAATTATGTGTTACCACTCTGAGTCAACATTTTGCTAGGTTTATCCTAAACTTCAATTTTTTATGCTTTAGGGATGCTTACAAGCAATTAAAATAAAAACCTGCTTCTATAGTTTTTTAAAATACTAGACTTATTACTTAAATCTAAAATTGAAATAAGTCTAGTTGATCAGGGGAAACAGTCTTGAGACTCATTCTGGGTATGTCCCCAAACTTAGGGAACAATCCATTTCCAGCAGCAGCAGCTAACGTGAGATCCACAGAAAGCACGTGGGGGAAAACAACAAAGCAACGTTTGAGAAATACTTAGTCACACACCATCTTAAAATTCACAATCAATAAAATGAAGCATACTTCTTGATATCCTCTATAATACTTTCAAATAAAATATCTGTGATCACAGATGCCCTGGTATATCAATAGTGCATGGTCAAATTGGCAACCCAAAATTCTTGACTGTAACCTTATTATGTAAGAATTCATTTAAAAAGACATTAGAATCTTCAGGTACAGGGAATGCTACTTGTTATGGTTTAGATGTGATGTGTCTCCCAAAAGCTCATGTATGAGAAAATGTAAGAAAGTTTAGAGAAGAAATGATTGAGTTAACCCAATCAGTGTAATAATCCTGATAGGATTAACTGAATGGTAACTGAAGGCAAGTAGAGTGTAGCTGGAGGAGGTGGCTCATTGGGGGTGTTCCTTTGGGGTTAATATTTTGTATCTGGCAAGTAGAGTCTCTGATGTCCAATCATCATGTGAGCCGCTTCTCTCTGCCATGATGACTACTTCACCTTGAGCCCCAAGGAATGGAGCCATCTATGGATTGAGACCTCTGACACTGTGAATCCCCAAATAAACTTTTCCTTCTCCAAAATTATTCTTATCAGGTCTTTTAATCACAGCAGTGAAAAAGCTGACTAAAACACTAATCAGTAACTTAAAAATAATTACCCTAAGTTCAATATTGTATGCACATCTTTTCCTTGCAACAAATATTTTTAGCAAAAGCCAGTTTTGGTTTTTTTTTACTTCAATATGGATTTGCTTATTTGATTTCTTTTGCACTTTATGATTATTGGTGTCAGTTGACCAACTTCTATAAAATAACCATGGGATTTTGACCTAATTATGCTGAATCTGCAAATATGCTATGGAATATTATGATTTTAACAAAATTAAACTTTGATCATTGAATATTAAAAAAATGACAATAGAATCAGAGTTTGTAGTTATTTGGAACACAATCCTTGGCCCAGTGTTCTTTCTTTGGAGAAAACTCTCCCAGGAAGTAACTCTGAAGAAAAAAATCACACATATACAAGAAGTATTTGGAACTGCACTATTGGATGAGCAAAGAAACCAGAAATGGCCCAAACAGCCAATAATAGAATGATAAAGTAAATAATGATATCATCACCGAGAAGGATATTATTTTGTTATTGCAAATGACAAATGTGTTCCATGTTTCCACACTATGGAAAAAAATATATATATATAATAATATCAAGCAAAGAGTGCAGACACAAAGAAATACATACCTAATAATGGTACATTGATGAATTTGCTAAGACAGAAACTCAGTTATGTTACACATTATTTTATGGTAAATAATTTTTTAATAAAAGATTTAAGACAAAATGTAGTTATCTGAGGTCAAGAGTACTATTAATTATTTTCCTCTTACATTAAAAATCATCAAAGATTATAATGCAGTAATTCACCTTTTAAGACACTCGGTATTACAAACTAAGTGTTACTAAATTAGCATTATGTCAGACAAATCTCTTATACGTGGTCACAATAAAAAATTGTGACTTTTTATAATCCCAATGAGCATATTTCACCAAATACTCATATAATAAAGGGTCCTCATTATAGAGAACACATATTTGGGACTAAAGCAATCAAAGTAATTGACAGGATGATCCTCGAATCTTTGAGGAGTCATTCTAATCTTGAGGTCCTGTGCATGAGCTCTAGGCAGGCTCCAGAGACAGTTTCTAATTTCCCAGGGCCAGCCTGTCTAGAGTTTTAATAGGCCCTTCTTCTAGAGCCAGCTACTCTTGGTATCGGGGGTATGATGGGGTGCTATTGTCTGGCAACTGAAACCCACAGATTACACCTCCAGCGCATTTTTATTCATTTCTGATTCTGCTGAACTGTGTGCAATGCACTAATAGAGACATTATGACTATTTTGCATTACTGCCATTTATTCAACCTTTTAGAGATGCATTAATGAAAAAATGAAATGGGCAAAGAGCAGGAGCAAAGAAGGAAGAGGGAACAGCCAATACATCAAAGACTTGGATAATGAACTAAATGGGTCATGAACCTTCAAATACTGGGATGTTGGCTGTACAATTATTGCAGGTTGTGTCCACTTTAAAAAATTGTAAAATGTTACAAGTATATAGAAAAGTATGGACCAATCTTATTTCACTGTTTTTTTTTTTAAAGGTAACCAGCACCCTGAATTAGGTTTTTATTATTCCCACTCATTTCTAAAACATATTACTAATATGTATGCAGCCAAAAATCATATATCAAATTTGTCCTATTTATATAAGTGATCATACACTGCACATATCATTCTGCTACTTTCACTTGCTCAGCAGTTTATTTTTGAGATCTACCCTCATTGACACAAATTGCTCCAGTTTAAGTTCTTTCTAACATTCCATCATGTGACTGTCCCATATTTAATTAAACCCTCCTCATGCTGATCGTCACTTGGGAACTGCTCATTTCTGGCTCTCGTGCATACTGCTACAATAAACATTCTGTGCACGTGGCTTTGTGCATGTTCCCAATAGTAGTGTGCGTAGTTTCCATTCCCCCTCTTCTCATCATTTAATATTGACTTTTTTTTTCTGCCAGTCTACATAGTGTAAAATGGTTTCTCATTGTCAAAATTATCACATCTCCGATTCCTTATCAGATGTTCATTGGTCATTTAAGAGTTATACATTTTTTTTCTAGTATTTTCCCTTAGCTTTTTTTTTGGGGGGGAGGGGGGAATGGCAGTGGGCTGGGGATTGAACTCAGAGGCGCTTTACCACTGAGCCACATCCCCACCCCTTTGAGATAGGGTCTTGCTAAGTTGCCAGGGCTGGCCTTGAACTTGAGATCCTCCTACCTCAGCCTCTAGAGTCACTGGTTTTATAAGTGTGGGCTACCATGTCTGGCCCTTACACTTAACTTATGGCATTCTTTACATATTCTAGACAAATATTCCTTGTCCATTACAACAACTGCAAGGATTTATGCCTCATTTATTCCTTGTTTTTAAATTTTAACTCAGGGTCTCTTTAGTTGTGTAGTTAATATTTTTTTTTTATTTTAATGTGTTTCAATTCATTAACTTTTTCTTTGAGGATTTGTGATTTGGGGATCTTATTTAGGAGAACATTCCCTGCCTTGAGATCATAAGGATATTCTCTTACATTTTCTTCATGTAGTTGAAAGTTTGCTTTTCACAAACACCGAGTGACTACGTATGACTCACATGGCATTTTGTAGAACAATCGATCTCCCGCACCATCATTAGTTTGCAAGTATTTACTATCCAAGGACCAGTCAATGTGTGTAATGAAGCTAAGGGACTTGTTGCATTCTCCTATTTTCTTGTACCGCTGGGCAACCGCGTAGATGTCCACTGGGCCATCATTGGATCCCACTGCGAGGTAAGAACCATCAGGAGAAAATTTCATTTCATGAATGACTTCTTTCCGATCCTTGATGTGAACTACTTCTGTCATATCTCTGTAAGAGTCAAAATGCCAAGTGATAAGCAGAAAATTGAGAATTAGAAAACCCAATTGATATTTTAAAATACACATCTCAAAGGAGGAAAAAAGGTTTCAAAAGGAAGAGAAAAGAGAATGAAAATATTAACTTCTGAGGAAAGACACGAAACATTATTTCAAATCTATGACACATTTATGAAAATAAATACTTGAAACATTTTGGGTTTTTAAAGTAAATACAGAAAACTTTTATACAAAGCACTTTTTCTTTTCTATTCAGTTATATATTATTTTTCCCTAAAACTTTTATTTAAGACATTGGGATTTTAAAAATTATTTTTTAAATAATGTCCTGGAGAAAGGCAAAATGTATCAAGGCTGGCATGAAAATAAAACATTATTTTTATACTCGAAGAATGACAAGCTCCTGACTGTTAAACTTAAGGCTTATTGCTGTAAAAAGTCAGTCCAAAAAGCAGAAGAAATTATCTATGTAAGTGTTAAATTATTATATCATTTAATATTCACTATGAAAGGTCAATAATGAATACACTGAATCACTGGGCTCTTTTGGATGCTTGCTGACAAGATTCTTTGAAGCATTTCTGTCCACATTGGAAAGCTCACTGAATTTTTTTTCCTCCAACCATGAGACAGGATTTTGACTGACAGGTCTCCCAAGCCATTAAAGATGGTTTCATCAACTCCAAAACAAACTGAATGCACAAATAACAAATATTTGCTTCTCCATAATAATCCCTGCTATCATTTATTAGTGGCACTCTAGTTTACTCTAATGTCATAAAATAGATTGTGTAGGCTTTCTGGCTTGGACTTGGGAAATTTATCATTAAGGAGATCTAGTAATTATCCATCTTATCACTAAGCAGAGGAATAAAATGTTGCCCACCAGTTTGGTAATGAGTTATGTGTGGCTGGCAATGAAAATGCAGTGTGATCAACTGTCCAAGAGCATTCTTCAAGGCCATATTGTATTCTCTCTTTGCAGAACATGCAGTAATTTACAGATGCATTTCTTTTCTGTAAGCACAAAATGTGTGAGCCAAGCAAACAATGTATTCAGAGGACTTACAAGGATGGGTCATAATGTTTGTCCAGTAAAAATAATGGAGGATGTTAGTAAGGAAATATTTCATTTTAGTGTCAATTTTGGATGGAAGTAATCTTTCATTCAAGTCCACCTATAAAAATATCTAGTGCCGTTGGATGCTGCTTTGTTCTTCCTTCCTCTTTTGTTGGCTTAACTACAAAGCCCATGATCTCTTATCTGAAGGCTATTGGGATCAGATGTGCTTGGAAAATTGTTCTTCATTGGATTTTAGAAAGGTTAATATGCTGGTCTGGGACAGCACCTGAGTTAAACACATTTTTTTTTTTTTTTTAGCAGATAACATGTTATTATTCCTAGAGACTGTAAATAGCCTCACATCAGTTCGTTGGATTAGGCTCTAAATTAACAAGAAATTTGGATTTTCAGAGTGTTTTGGACTTCAGAATTATAAGTAGGGAACTGAGGCACAATGGTACTCCTATTTGAAAGGGTAAATATGCTTCCTAAAGTCCTGGCATATGTTATGACCAGGAGAATCTTGGTTTCTAACAAAAGAGCATCTCTAAAAACCATTTTCAGAATTGGCACATACCTGACTCGGAGAACGATGAAAGAGCCGTCCTTCATGCCCAGGGCCAGCTGGGACCCGTCGGGGCTGAAGGCAACACTGCGGACTGCTTCCTCCATGTTACAGCGAGCGATCAAGGCATGGTCAGCCAGGCTCCACAGCCTACGCCAAGAGCAAGTAAGAGTAAAGCCAGACCAACGTCTCAGAGTCACATTGTTAATCACATTATAGGAAAAGACCATACTAATGCTTTTATTGTTAATTTAAAAATATGTGGGCTGGGGATGTAGCTCAGTGGCAGAGCACTTGCCTAGCACGTGTGGGACCTTGGGTTCAAATCCCTAAGTACCACTTAGAAAAAAAAGTATATGTGAGTACCGCTCTAGTAACTGATATTTGAGCACATACAGACTGAAACACATTTGTTGGCCTCCCTGGAAAGAAAGCGTATCTAAGAATGAATGGTTCCCCTTATCCAGGATGGCTCCAAAGTTGGTTATATATAGTCATAGCTATCACTCAAGGTCCTTGGATGCCTCACTACTAAAGGATCCACTATTTGTGGGGGGGACACTTCATGGTGCTCATGGCCAGTGAGCACAGCCACTGCTGGAGAAATGATAAGTGCAACTACTTGATCTCTCAGCAGAGCCGACTACACGTATTCCCATCTCCCGAACACCTAATCCAGGCATCTCAAACTAAGTGAACCACAGCAAAATATTTATGAAATTCAAATAAGGGTTTCCATGTTATAATTATGGCATCCGACCTGTCAGGACTTCAAGAATCTTAACAACCAAACAACAATATCTGCTAGGGGGATGGAAACCCTATCGTCCTGCAACAGAAGGGCAAGAGTGAGTAACAGGTGGCACTTTCCCAAGTATCATCTGCCATCAGGAGAGGCAGGCACGCCCCCTACAATGTGGGGTTGCATAATGAACAGTTCATGGTCCCTTAGGCAGCCTGCACTGTTTGGCCTAAAGCTTATGATAGTCTCTCAATACCTCATCCATTATTCATCATCCTGGGCTGTTTTTAGCCTTGTACTATTTTAAGCAATGTAAGCTTTGCTTTAGTGGGCTGAAGAACCCATCCCTTCCCAGTAAATGGTATAGAAAGCCCTAGAAAGCTGCCAAGCTAACCCTTCAAGAAATTATGACTTTTCCCCTTCCTAAATTTCAAAACTCTAGGTAACACAGCATTTAAAGTTTTAGTCAAGTTAATGATTTTAAGGGGGAATAAAACAGATTCTGCAGCCAGGGCTCCTCAAGGAGCTCACAGTTCTAAGACTCAATACGATTCTTACAATACGAAAGCCCAGGACCTTCTGAAGTCCTTCCTTTCTGAATGGGAGCGAACAAATTACACAGGTATTTGAATGAGTTTATGGCATTGTTTTGGCTACTTGGCAAAAACTCAGAGTAAAGGAATAAAAAGAAGGGAGTCACCAGTAGCATAAGTCAAATAAGCACTCATTACATGAGTAACTGTCTCTACCTTCCTGAGATGAATGCGGCTTTCATACTTGGCAGACACCAAAAAACAGAAATGAGCAGACTGTATCTTGATTAGAATCATAAACATACAGAATAAGTGGGAAAAAGCAGTGACCTTTACTCTAGTTGACAGTGTTCTGCTTCAGCTGTTAAAATCCAGAAAAACAACCAATCAATCATTCTCTTCCTCTCTGTAGCCTATTATTAAGCACACTTAAAGCTTATAATAAATACCTAAATATTGAAATCAGTGCAATCATCTTAGTCTCAAATGTTTAAGTCATATAGTCATTCCTTCAATAATCATCAGGATCCTGATGGCATACTAATTTTTCCCAAACATTGAGCTCTCAAAGAATAGATGAATCACAGCAAGAACTTTGAAGGCACTAATAACACTGTGCACCTTTTTGGAAATTAGCCTTCACTTTGGATTTGAAAACAATGTTCAAAATTTCATCTCAAATTTACAAAGAAAGCTGGGCTTGGTGGTACATGCCTGTAATCTCAGATGCTGGGGAGGCTGAGGAAGGAGGATTTTGAATTAAGAGCCAGCCTCAGCAACTTAGTAAGACCTTGTCTCTAAATAAAATATATATATATATAAAGGACTGGGGATGTGGCACAGTGGTTAAGCACCCTTAGGGTCAATCCCTAGTATCAAGAAAAAAATTACAAAGAAATAATAATTGACTTGTGTGATGAAGACTACTTTAAAAATCAGAACTGAAGTTCTGATGGTGAGGAATGGAGGAATGAGAGTTTCTAAACTGCAAATTGACCGTGTAGAGGACCAAGTAGAGAGGGGGAAAATGTGGTCTCATCACATAGGAGCATGCCTGGCTCACATCTTGAACCCGAGAGAAGGGCAAGCCAGCCTAAACAGCATTCCTGTATTTTCACTTCTAAGAACAATCCCATTAAGGTGGAGCCATAGAAAGATAATGAAAAGTCATGAAACCAGCTAGAGTCTAGCTAAACCTCCTAACGTTCCATTTGGGAAGTGTATGGTTCTGTACTGCAGGAATCTCTGGGGGAGTCCCTGGGATAACTCAAAGGTGCTGGCTGCTGCAAGCTCACCTGACAGAGCGGTCATCGCTGCCTGTCACAGCCAGAGGCTTCTTGGGGTGTAGGGCCAGGGCCCAGAGCTCCCCCTCGCAGTGGCCCTGCAGGATCAGCATTGGCTTGTCTCGCTCTCGCACTATCACTTCAAATATCTCACTGTCTTGGGTCCCGGCTAGAAGGCGGTCTGCTCTCCAGCACACGCTCCGGATAGAGAGGCCTAACAAAAATAAATACAAGCATTTCTCACATGGTTCACAAATGGAAGGCGAACACCCAGAGTAAACATCCTTTCACCAAGCTGGCATCTGGGTGACACATCCTAAAAACTCCTGGGGGTGCAGAATCAATCCCACACACCATGGTGTCTCTTTTGCAAGTGTAATACAATGCACTTTGACATCTCCACCACCCTGCGTGACCTTGTCTGCTACAGTGGCCATTCTTGTCTGATTTAGGAAACCTGTGTGTCTTTACAGCAGTATATATTTGAAATACTACATCTGAAAATGAATATAAAAGAAGAAATCAGTTTTTATGAACCCCTATTGAATTGCTATGAAAAAGTAATCACTTCAATCTTCAGGATAACATTGTGCTGAAATTACATGCGGGCAAAACTAGAAAATCGTTAATTATCATATTAGGCAGGTTGAGTATGTGTTTGATATAAACCTAGACTCATTCTACTGGAGAAACAGATGTATTATGTCCCAGGAATATGCAAATTAAACTAATCTCAGTCTCAAAATACCACAGAACACTTGTCAGTGAAGATGCTATTCTTCCTTGTCTGAATTTATGGAATCTCTTCTAAAAACACAGTACTCTTTTTTAAGGCCAAACTTCTACCTCCGTAGTATTTCTTACTCTCTAGGCAGATTCTCACTTCTCAGCTTAGGTTTTGATCTCTGACATCTTGCGGTCTATTCCATTCCTGACAGGGTTCATCATTTATTGTCTTATGAATATTCTTCCATCTGAGTTAGAAATTACACAAGCAATTCCATTTTTTTTTAACTCCTTTAAAATTCAGCAAGGCTTAAATAAGCTTTGCGATCTGAGTTGCCTGTCCAGGCGGCTTTGTGTCTTTGGAACAGTGTTCCAGAAGCCCGGGAACCAGGTTTCACTCTTGTTCTTTATCTGATTGGCCAGGAACTCCGGGAAGTCTTCTCCTCTCTGGAGATCAGTTTTTCTCCCTCTAAGGTATAGACTGTAATTATGGAGAGTCTGTAACTTATCATCCAAATTTGAGATCCTTTGAAAGCAAAAGGAAGCTCTATAAATAATTAAGTTTACAAAATTTTTAAAAGAAATATTGACCAAGAAAGTAGTTCTAGTGGGTTGAAAGGCCAGTTCTATCAAAAATATTTCAAATACAGAATTCTCATGACACTGTGACAAGATGGAAACTTCAGGAGAGAGGAATAAATAGAGCACAGGAATTTTAGGGCAGTGGAACTATTCCCTAGGACACTATGATGACAGACACATGTCGTCATGCATCTGTCAAAACCCATAGAGTATACAACACCAAGGGTGAAGCCTAACTATGGACTGTGGGTGATGATGTTGCGTCGATGTAGGTTCATCCACCCTACGCTCTGCTCAGGGTGTGGAGAGTCAGGGAGCCTGTGCACGTGTGGGCAGCAGGTGTATGACTTTTGTTTTCTGGGATGTGTGGTTTTTGTTTGCTTTTCTTTGGGACACAAGGCTATTTGTATGAGATACTGCTCTTTATTCCTCACTCTGAATTTGTCATTTCATGTCCTGAAGTGGAAGGAAAAAAGCACACAGGCAGATGTTTATTCCTGCTGTGTGTGGGGATACCTTGGCAACAGCTGGCTCACGGCCACTTAAAATCCTCTGCTGCAAGCATCAGGATGGACTGCAAGGATGGGAAGGAAGATGCGTGGGGAAGCACCCAGATGGGCCAATGGCACGCAGCTCTGTGGTGCAGGGGCCACTGGCCTGCAGAATAGTTTTGGCCCAATTATCCTTATCTCTTCCATGTTCCCGTGTTCTTGCTTCCTCCCTTGTGTTTTGTGAGCTCTCGCAGGGGGCCGACAGGAAGGGGCTGGATTTGCCACTTCCCTAGTTGGCTTTGCATTACCCATAATTTTATTACAGAAAGGTGCAGCACTTGCTCTTCAGAGTTTTCAGGAAGTAAAGAGTTAATGATATTCTAACATCAGTCACTCATTCATTGATTCCTCCCACTAGGAGGGGATTTCTGTGAAGATGAGAGAGCTCAGTTTTATTTACTGTTGTGTCCTCGGTACCTAGCAAAATAGCTGGCAGGTAGTAGATGCTTAATGAGAATTAATGAATGAATGAGCAAATATAAAAGTCACAAATACTTCTCAAGTCCTCAGTATACCAAGGAATAAAAGATACTATTCCTGTTCTCAGTGAGAACAAAGGAAGAGGGACATATTCATTTTAAAAAATGACTATATAGTTGACACCGGAGTTCAATATGGAACAAGCGAGGCTCGATGATGTGCTATATATTTTAACTGATATTGAATTTTCAAGCCACAAGTCCTTTTAAAATCCCATTGTTTCAAAGCCACTGCCTTATTCCAAGCAGGCCTGAAATCCACGTCTTCACGGTAGGCACAAACACACCAATTCTCCCCCTGGTCTCTAAAACCATGTCTAGTCACAGAAGGCTAAACGGCTTGAAAACAAACTTCTCCCAAGGACCTGAGGTTCTACTTGGTCCAATGTACAAACATTATTCTCTCAACTACCCCACTATTTTTTAGCCTTATTTGTGGGAACAGATTCAGAAAAGTACAAAGAAATCCACAAATTATCACCTGGAATTGGCAACTATTAACATTTAAAAAATAGTCTTGCTAGGCTGGGTGTGGTGGCACATCCCTATAATCCCACTTGCTCCAGAGGCTGAGACAGGAGGATGGCCAGTTCAAAGCCAGCCTCAGCAACTTAGCAAGGCCCTCTAAGCAACTTAAGGAGACCCTGTCTCTAAATAAAATATCAAAAAAGCTGGGGATGTGACTCAGTAGTTAAGCACCCCTGGGTTCAATCCCAGGTACCAAAAGAAGCTCAGAAACAAAGATGAACATTCCAACTCAGCCCAGACTTAAGTTACATGGCACACACCCTCTTCAGACTACATTCTCAGGGGAGCTCCAGGGGCCCGGCAAGGAGAGGACTGGGAAACAGGAGATCAAGAGGCAGGGATCTGACGCTCCCACCCTTTCATCAGTGCCTCGAGATCTGTGTGGTACTAGGAGACAAGGGGCTTCTGGTGAAGTAATGTAGACAATGAGGTTACACCACCAGGGCTGTCTCTGGCTGAATATGGGGGCAGTGGAGAGGGAAAGACAGAAAAAGAGAGGGGACAGGGGAGCAGGAGGAGAGGAGGAGGAGTGCTACATTTTTGTCATTTTCAACAAACTTAGTGAGCTGTGAGCATGTCTGAGACCAATTGAGCTTCTCCACACATTTCTGTTCTTTAAACAGAAAATTGATCTTTTGTGACATCAGACAAGCTGACCCCTGGAGTCTACTACCAGGCAACTGAGGAGACGCAGGGTCACTCTCATTCTTAAGATAATAATTTTAAATAGGAATTACTTCCTGAAGCACATGGGTGAGGAGAGAATTGTGTTTCAAGCTTCCTAGCAACACCCTGGTTTCAATATTCTAAACCTAATTGCTCCTCTGCCTGCAAAAGGTATGGAGAGAAGCACAGTCTCTTCTGGGCACATTCTGGAGCCATTCTGCAGAGTGACAGGTCCCTGATGAGGTTCTGACAGTCTTTCCCTTCCCCCTGTGTATCCAGGCTTGGTCTAACTTCCCTAATACAAACACAGAGAAGAGGAAGATGACTGTGGTGCCCTAGCCAGACTGCCAAGGCCATCACTGCTCTGGGTAATAATCAAGCCTGTCTCTGCTTCTTTATCTTCTATTCTGGGAGTCAGGGAAACCCAGGGTATGATTTGGAAAATGATGAGAAGCATGCCAATAATGAAGAGAGGCAGAAAAAAAAACATGTCATGACGTGAAGCCTCAGTAACACTCTTTTCTTCTTAAAAATGCACATTGTAGATATGTCTGACAGTAGGGAGAGGCATCCACATTTTGGATCCTATGGCCCCTCTCCACAACTTGCTGTGAGAAATGTGGAGCTCTGGGCTGAAGTTGGTACACATGGTCAGCAGATGGCAGCAGGGAGCAAACCACCCATTTAAACCTGAAAATCCTCTAAGGCTAGGACCAAAACTTCCTCCCCCATCCCTTTCCACCATTGTGCTGGGGATGGTCCCCCCATGGCCCCACACATGCTACGCAAGTATTATGCACCATGAAGCTACATCCTTAGCCCAAGAACAAATTCTTACCAGCACATTGCTCTGGTTTTTACAGTCAGACGAGAAAGTAGAAAACAGTATCCTTCTAATACTCTCTGCTACCATCCTAAAACCTGGGCTCAGGGAGATCTGGTCCAGGAAAAAATAACACAGACCTCATTACTAAAGGACAGTGCTTATTTTTCACTAGTTGTTTAAATAGACTGAATTTGTATCCCAGCCCCAGCCTGTCCTAGGGACACATACCAAGTTATTTAATTTTCCAAATCTTCAGTTTCTCCATCTGTAAAGTGAAGATAACATTAGCACTCCCACTTCACAGCATCATGAGGATTCAATGCAGTAACACCCTACATATGTCTGGCACCGAGGGAATCCATCGACATAAATTATTATTTTAACCATCAGGTCTTTGTGCCTTGTCAGGGTCGTTTATGTTTCAGTGTAGCACAACTCGCTGTGTGTGTGTGTGTGTGTGTGTGTGTGTGTGTGTGTATTCAGATTCCAGTCCCATAGAGTCAGCCAAGAGCTATGAAGATGTTACATATACACATACATCCCCCCAAGTCTCAGATAGTTCTTGTGCTACAACTCTTTTGTGTTGTTGTTTTATAATTTTGATGGGAGAGCACTACAAACTCTCAGAAGCAAAGGAGCTGTCCAACAGAGAACAATTGCGTGAATAAAATGGCCTCCCGATTATTTGGCCTAAGGAGAAAACTGGCAGCAGGGCAGAGTTAATGATGTTCTTAAGTCTGCTGCTCCAAGGCCTGAAAATATGGTAAAGAAATGATAGCAGTTGTTCCCAACACTTACAGTGTATCAGAATCTACATGGAGGGTTTAAAAAATACAGATGTCAGGACACCACCCGG